GGCTTCACATATATATAGTATTTGTGGTATTGACTAGACCTCTGAAATGTCTGTTGGTGAGAGTACAGCTTAGCATGCCAATACCTCTACTCAATTCAAACTTTCATATTACTCCCGTCTCAACAATCACAAAACCTATGTCGTGACCGAGTTCAAGTTTTTGCCATTTAATAATTACAGGTGAATTAATCTCACTATCCCTTCTGATTGGAGGCTCTTTAATTTAACTTAAACGAATTCGGATAAAGGTCAAGCTTTCTACCAAACCTGGAATCTTTGATATTTTGACTTGACTTAATTAGCCACAACACTTGGTATAAATATAGACTGAACCTTCTTTTCAATCTGGTTCGTTCTGGCCAGAACAATAAAGGCTTCGATCGCTACCTCTCTGATCCAAACAAGATTGTAAGTTTGCATTGATATAATTTGGCCAGCCCCCTGCCACCAGACTGCCGTTCACCATCTCACCACAACTTGATTATCAAAAGAGTACAGACCACTAAAGACATCAATACATTAGGCAAGTTTTTATTAATCATGCCCTCCAGCTCTAGACGTAGCACTGCAAGAGCTCGTAAGTACAAGTGAAGATCATTATCGCCCCTTCCATTCTCACTTTTGCTTCGAAGTTCAATATGGCAAGCTTACTCGATATCAGACAACTCACACGGTACCTCAAACTCTCTGAGAGAATACAATAGCAGGCCCAATCCTGCGAACCATTCGCATATACAAACCATACCTGCAGAGAGCATTCACGAAAATTCAGGGTCGGAGATCGAAGTTAAATCACCAGATTTTGTCATCAAAGAATCAGCCCAAGAAGAAATAGAAGATCAACTGGAATACGAGAAAAGACTACAATCACTTCGAACAGATTATCCTGCGAATTCTACTACTACAACACCGATTTCTCTCGACACTACGTACGCGGATATCATGGCTGCTCGACCATCACGATCGCGTCGACGAAATGAAGCTTTGGATGAAGGAAAAGATATGAAATTAGGAGGACCAATGACTCTTGAATCACTCGGACCTTTCAAATATACCTTTAAGAAGAAGAAGAATTTGAAGACAAAATTTTCAGCATCGACAATCAATGATGACCAAGCAACTGATGTCGATAATGGAGGTGCAGCTTTAAATGATGATGATGGTGTAATTGGGAACGGAGGGGTAAATACGAATTTGGGTCACAGTGAAACTACTAGTGAGGTTGGAATGGATCCAGAATTGGTAGGAAGTGCAAGTTCATCACGTCCTATTTCACCTACATCGACCCCACAATTCAAACCATCTCTCGATATCCCTTCTCCCGACCACACAACTTCACAAAAACAACGAAATTACTTAGAATTCACTTTCTCCGCACCGGCACCAAGTAGAATCATTGAATATCTCGAAAAGAATTCGGAAATCATCGAAGAAGAATTGAGAGATTCTGATGATACCTTGCGAGAGAACAATTTGGAAGACGACGGCAACAAAGAAGGTATCAGTCACAGTATCGTCCAACCAATTGTTACTGCTGAAGATAAGACGGTGACCAGTACCACTGCTACTGTTACTTCGACGGATGTCCCTTCAATTGATCCAATTCCTTCAACAGTGGTTATACAACCTCCTCCAGGAGTCTCCAGGGTCTTGTCTTTTTCGCATTCATCCACTGATAAAAGCAGAACGCAAACTCTCTGTACAATTGATAGTGGTATTGGTCTAAATTCTCCTTCCCTTGATCTTTTGAAGAGTGACAATTCCGACACACAATCGGTTAAGGATAAGAGCGACGCAGTTATGGCTCGCATTGCTTCATCGGCAGGGTTAATGGTGAGAAGCTTGAGTGATATCACTACTGTTAACGATGGATTTGATTCGGTAGAATGGGATCCAGATCTTCCTGTTCGCTCAATTAACAATTCTCCTGAGCCATTATCAGTTGAAACACAACCTGTGGCTTACACCACTGTCGGATCTCGTGTCAATCCTAATTTGCAACCTCAAATCTCCGCCCCCAACCGTATTCAACGTGAGGGTTCTATTCGTCGACCACAATTGGATCCCACTCATAATAGACAACCAAATTATTACTCACACACCCGTGGTCCGCCACCTCCTTTGAACATGCAAAACTCCATGCACTATGCGCAACAGCTTGGTCAGGCTCCTAATTCCTTCAACACTCCGCCAGCCACATCTGCGAGATCTACCCGCTCTTTGCGGGCCTCTCAGAGACTATCCCAGTCAGAGCAAGAGAACCATACACTTCTCAGACTTCAAGGGATGATCAATGCGAGAGTATCTAATGGTCATTATCCTGTCTCGCCCAACACCCCAACTCCCACTTCCCACCAAAATAATCTTTCATCAATTTCGAATGAGGAGCAGGATTTGGCAAAGGGAAGTGATTTACAAGGTCCCATATCAGGTCTAGAAAAGATGCAGACCTTACAGAGACTCGCGAAATTCCCGAATCCAATGCAAACCTCGGCTTTACGTCGATTGTCTGAGTTGCAAGCACCCAAAGCCGAAAACGCTGCAAATTCAAATGGAGACGTTGAAGTTGCGAGGCAACGTTTAGAGTACCTCTTACGAAACTCAAGAGACAACACTATGCTAGATGGTGCACAAGCTACTAAGAATGGAGAACTCGACCGTACCTACACATTCCCTCCCCCAGGTATCTCCGACATGGCATACAACCCACTCTACAATGCATATTCGGGATCTAACAATCATTCAAGAGATTCTGCAAATCATCGAGGGGTATCTGGTTATCCACAACCGTTAACTGCCGGCCCACCAGGACAACGCTCGTATGCTAATAATAGACAGAATAGTACTTATAGTGAGGAGGCTTGGACACAAGAGCAGGCTGGAGCGAAACAAAACTCACACACAAGCACCGAGCCTGTCTCACCATGGCAAGAATCAAAAGTTCTTAACGAGCAGTATAGTGCTCAGGCACCAGCACAAGCTCCTTCTGCACGAGCAACAGATACAATTTCCATGCAACAAGCCCGTCAGTATTATCCTCACGGGTTTCCCAGTGACATGACCGGGAGATTCACTAGTTTGTCAATTAATGTACAAAAAGAAATGGGACTTCTCGAGGATGAAGAGACTCCCGAGGAAGCTCGAGCAAGAAAACATAAGGAGAAGGATGAGTGGTTCTACAGTGGCCAGAAACGATGGAACATGACGGTCCAGGAGCACATGGCAGAAATTGAAATCCATACCAATCCTTTCGGGCCTATCGGTCCTCCCACGAAGAGAAATTCGCCTTCAGACAATAGACCTCTTCCCGGTATCACTATCTCAAGAATGGAAAAGAAGACCATCCCCGAAGTAATCGCTCCACTGATAGATGGAACTCTCGGCAACTTATTCGCCATCAAAGCTCAACAGGAAGATGGCAATTTCACGTCACCATTCATTAGATACGCCAAAAGTCCAGAATGGCAAATTGATACAAGTGCAAGAGGCAATGATTCTTTCTTCGAAGAAAGATGGGGAGTCTCAATCGATGCTCCAGCGCCTCATAGCGATCGAGTTCAGCGATACTAGGTTCTCGCCGCTTATCTAGAACGCAGACAACGATAGTCGAGAGAGCCTCTCAATGCCTATGTAGTTGGCTGTTGGCTGTTGATGTCTGTCTCTTATCAAAGCGACCCGATCGACAAATCGAGACTTAATCGTTCCCAAGAGCAATACCTCGAATGGTGTTCTAGAGAGTCCTTCATTTGGCTGTTTAACAGAAGTGTGGCTCTTCACAACCACCGAGTCTTCTCTTGCAAGTAAGGCCCATCTAATAATTGCTTGTACACTTTTCACCTTTTTCTTTGAGTATGATGGAAATCCTATTTCCTCGACATGATCGATTGCATTTTGTTACTGTTTCCGCGTCTTTTCTTTGGCTCTTGCAATATTTCAAAAAATGAGAAATAAACATTTGTAGGATCGGTAGAGATGTTGTAATCTGTTAAGGGGGGCGGGGGGCGATGGCATTCCAACTTCTGGCTTTACCGACCGCATTTCTCGAGAAGGTTTTGGCTTTCAGCTTACTTCAATGGGTGGTAATATGGATTGGCCCAGAAAAATAACTTTGGGAAGCCTTTCCAGTTCTGGAAGATAGTGGCTTTTGTTGTGGTTTTGCTTGGTGCTATTGTGGTTTTGGCTTGCTGTTGTTACAATTTGGCCTGAAGCTGGAGTGAAAGATCCGTTCAAATATCATCATCATGATTGCATCTAATTTGGCTTGCAATGCAATTATGGTGACTGATGGGTCTTTGTATACTTTTGAAAAAGAAACTGTATACTTGTGAATCGGGTTTCAATGGTCGCTAGTTCGTGTGAGAGGCATCCTGTTGTATGAGTAGTTGATCGCGCTCGCTAATTGCTTATCTTGATATGGTAACAGTCTTTTTAGTTTGGTGATTTGTTGTGTGAGACCTATCAATATCCAGATACTCTTATTCACCGATGTCTGATATGAGTTTCATTGCATGCTGGACTGAGGGTTTGAGAATTTGTTACTTTCACTCACACTCTTCCGTTCTATAAAGCTACAAGCACGCAAATATATGAGTCCTGGAGATGTGGTGAAGGGTGAATAGTACAGTTCGAAGACAGCTTGAAGAGGAAGATAATTTCTTTATAACTAGAGTATAGAGATTACTGCATTATAGTCTAGTCCTCGCTATCCCTGCTCAAATATTCGACTTTTAAGGCCTGTGGACGACGTACTCTGTTGTTGATATTCGTGTCTGTCATCCATCCTGTCAACCGTCTCATGGCATCTCATTTCATCTAGTTTTTTTGTCACCACGCTTTCCCAATCCCAAACACCGCTCATGACCAAAGTCGAGATTCCAATTCCAAGACAAAAAACCCTTCCATCCGTCCGTCACATTAGCTTTATCCAAGCATTCATCAATCATTAAAAATTTAATCATAAGCCATCGTCCAATCATCCTATCCACTCCCATGTCTGTCAATTACCCCATAATCATGACATTATCAACTCCTCTTCTTCCTAACCGCTCAATTCCCAAGCCTTCTTTTCCACCTCTTCCCATCCCAACCCCAAATGCATATTTCGCTCCTTCTCCCTTGAAGTGCGAGGATGTACTCACGAGTCTCGTCACCAAATCTATCTTAGATCGAGGAGCACTAAATGCCGCGTCATCTAGAATGTTACTTGAATGAACGAAACTAATTATCTCGGCTAGACAATCGATCGGATGTGGTAGATACATGGTGTGTCTTTTTGGGATTGTGAGCAAAAGAGTCAGGAAATAGATGATGAGGAATGCGAGGCAGATGTAGAAAGAAGGAAGATTGGGAAGCATGCGGACTTCCCCCGAAGTGATGGTCAAGGGGAAGAATAATCCTCCTGCGAGAATGGGAAGGATGATGAAGAGGAGGGAGACGAGAGAAAACCACGCGACTCGCAAATGACCATTTCCAAGCGCGGTAATGGTGCTTTGGATGGGGAGAGAAGCGGGGTAATCGAGCAGGAGAGATTTTACTGCGGGCGAACCATCGGGATTGGAGAGTTCGGCCCACGGTTGGAGTTTGCGGAAGGCCATGTCGATGGGTTGGAAGAGGAGGTAGAGAATCATTCCGAGCAGAGATGGGATGAAACTGTATAGGAAGTTTGCAGCGGAGTATCCAGATCCGTTGGGATCGGCAACAACTAAGGGGTTAAATCCATGGCGTATGGCTGTGGACGGAAGGAATGATACGACGATCAAAGCCAACAATAGAAAGAAAGCTGTAACAGACCACAGAACCACAAAGGTATCACGCAAAAACCATGGAATATATCGGAATCGAGTAGCGGTATCATGGAGAGACGAACGATTTTCTTCCAAATCAGGGATACCGCTACCGCTGCTTACTTTTCTCTCTGCTTTTCCGCCTTCTAAGGTATATCGTCTTATAGGCGCGCCCGTTTCTCCAATAGAATAGAAAATCCCTTGTGTCGGACTAGGGGTTCTCCAATATCCCAATCGATCGCTTCGATCGGCTAATTTGACTCGGATCTCCTGTTTGGATTTCATGGTCTCGGTACCTGGATAATCTCTAAGACTATTGCTTCGTGGTAATAGCGCGATCAAATCAGCCAACGATCGAGGATCCCATAGTAATCCCGTTGTTCGATGGAAGAAAAAAGCGCCGATGAGAACTAATCCCATACACATCGATATGTAGATCGCAACCAACGTCCACGCAATCCCTTGCACAGCAGTCCATTTCCAATTTCCCTCTACCAACACTACGGAAAACAAACATCCCTGGAGCGGAATCGTGAATACAGATAACCATAAACACGATACCCCAATATCGATCATCATGGGACCGTCCCATCTCGGCCACAACATATGACGAGGAAAAGCTTCCAAAAATAACGCGTTGGTTCGGGGCTCCGCATCTTCCATCGCCATTAGTACATAGGGCATTATTCTCGTAATGGCCCCCATTACGTATTGAACATATAAGAATATACACGCTCCGAGAATCTGGGGTAAAAATCCAAATATAAAATATCGACCCCCATCAACGCCGGTAGTCCATGGATAAAGACCATCGTGATAATTCGAATAGATCGCGCAAAACATGATCGCTGCAGTCATCATAAGACATAATGTAATAATCGCTAGTAAAGAAACAGGTCGTAAAATCGTGGGAAGGAATTTGAGCTCGGGGTATCGTTTGGTATTGGGAGGAGGTTGCGTGGGAATGAATATTTCGGCATCTTTTTCGTTAGGAGGTGAGCGGGCTGGTTGGGGTACTCTGATGGGTACTCTTCCCTCTTCTTCAGTAGGCGGTGTTGAGAGGGGTGGCGTGGCGTTGAACCCAAATAATCGTCCTGGTCCAGGTGTAGAACGATGTTTTCTGATGAGTGCGAGTTCTGCTCGTGTTGGTCGTTGGGGAATGTAACGATTTTCGTCTGGAATGATTCTTTCCACCGGATACTCTTCAGAGCTTTGCGAATTAGTTGGTTGCTGGCCTTGCTCAAGTTGTTGAGCTCTTCTTGCTTCTCGTCTCGCTTCCTCGTCCCTCGTCAATTGATCGATCGCGAATCGGATAAATGGTGTATCGTCATTGTTGGGAGTCGGCGGACTCTCATCCTCCACCTGAGACGACATTCTTCTCGGTCTCATTGAGGCTTCGGCTTCCATCCCTCGTATCTGCTGTTCGTCAAATCGAACCATATTGCTATTGTATCTCTGATGAGAATCTTCCCAGTCACTTGCCCTGATCAAAGGAGTCTCTATCGAATCTTCCAAGTTCTCGTGGCTTTGCTCCGGAGTGCGGAAACGAGATGGAGGGGTTGCCCACCGTGTCACCGTAGCTGCATCAGAAGTGCTCGATGGAAGTGACGGTGTGTTTTCTCCGTAGCGCACATCCACACCGCTCAGCAATTCTGACGTTTGCACTTGTTGCAACTGTGGTCGTGAGTCTATGTACAGGATCTACGTCAGTAAAAAACAAAACAGATTGGATCCAAAAAAGTAATAAAATACACAGAAGGTAGGAGAATAGGTGAATAGGTAAAAACTCACGCTTCACTCTTCGCAATCCAAAGATCCAAGATTCATCATCCTGTAAGCAACTCCGCCAATAATAACATAAGCAATTAATTAAGGAATGCATCTTCAAGGTTCGTGCGCGGAGCAAGTATCTATTAGTTAAAAGAGTGGCAGGTCGAAAAGATGGCTGGATGTTGGTGGTAGGTCGCCGCCGTGAAGGGTTTTTTCGCGCAGGGTCTCATCAAAAAGGGTGGCTGGGAAAGCGTCTAATTCGCCTCATTAATGAACTAATCATGCTCTGGTGCTTCAGGATACCTGTAAAACACGTTTTGTGACGGGCGATAGTGATTTCCAAGGTAATTTCCAGCTTCTTTTTCGTTTTGATCAATTATATGGAGATACGTTGCACTGGCACTACTGTACCATAACGGGCCAATTGGCATTAGCAGACGTCAGATGGGATTCGTTGTCTCGCTTCCAGCAAGGGGACCTGCAGGTCGTTCATCTTGTTCTTTGGGCATTTTTTTTTAGCCTTGAGATTCATGATTTGGTCCTGTAGTTCAAACACCAGAAACATGCAGTAGTTTCGATTTCACGCTTCTGAGTGGAACTCATCATTACGATGTATATATCAGCAACAAATTTCCGATCGATGTTGTGGGCTTATCGGAAAGCGTTTATCGTCAATACCTTATCGTGTGAGCAAATAAATTAATCAAGAGTTCTCGGCTCTAAAGTCCTTTTTCAGGAACAACCGCTTCCTTCCAACCACAACCATTTATTTCGTGTAAGGATTCACGAACTCCACTGCAGAAGTCCGATTGGTTTATTGTTACCCCTCATAATTTCACAAGTTCTAGCGGACACATTCAAATATCCATTATGGTACCCCTCCTGTTCCTGGTCAACCTTAACCTCTCCACTCTCCTTTGATCTTCGTTGGGGTATGTCCTAGAAGCCTTTGAATTTTGATTTACATCTTAATCGCCGATATCTGCCCCCGTGCTTTGCACATAAATCCACTAAACACAATTGGTAAACATTTACTCTTTTTACCACGCTTCCAATGCTCTCTTTCTATCATAAATCTCATAAGCCCTATGAAAGGACGCTAGCAATATACTCATTTCACCCTTCCTAGTTTGCTAGAGCTAAGTATGCTGTTTTGAAATGAGCAGATTTAAAAGAGGAGTTCGATGCTTTGAATACTTTCATCAGTCTTGGAGGCGTATTTCGAGTGACACTAGCGTCAGTGTGAGCTTGTCAAAAAGCTATCGTGGGACCCATTGTACAACCGTTTGTTTGAGGAAAAAATTTGGTGCGATGTGTGCTGATTTGCGGTATCCTAGTATATCCGGGGTTTTCAGGAGTATTCGCGTAGGATGAAGGGGTATGGAAAGATTGAAAATTTCATCGAAGAATAAATTCAACATACATGCTGCAACTGTATAATGACGATTTTAGTGATCTCAATATCTGCATATATTTTATCTTAATGCAAAAAAGCCTTTAAAACAAAGAATAAACATTGCGATTTTAAGGTATAAACTCTGTATGAATAACCCCATGTGCATGGATGATAAGTGAATCTGAAAGTAATCTTATTCAAAATCGCAATTTAACAAAAACGGATTGTCTATAGTCTCTCAGTTGATCTGAATAAATGAGTACCCAAAGCTCAGTGTCCTGTGGTAGAGCCAACTATAATATATACAAGAAAGCAAGATAAGAACTTAACTCCAGTAACAGACCCTTGGTATAAAGCATTTGATCATAAAACGTCCCCAGACGCCACCCATATATAAGCACTTTTCTTCTTCTCTCTAATTCATCCCATTGACCCTGTTTCTCTCCATAAATTCATCATGATCGTGCACCACGACCTGAGGTATCGGCAAGCCCAACGTACTACTCCTGCTCCTTGTCGACAATGTTGATATTGAAGCTTGCCGTGGACTAGCAATCATTCTTTCGACAATATATGGATCCGAAAAACTTCTTCGTGTTTGTTTGTACGAGTCGAATCTGGTATCTCTTGTATGATTGTAACTCAGTCGGCGGGGTTGTCCAGTACTGTGATCATTTGCTTCTAGATCGGTGGTTCCTTCTATGTTGGTCAAGGACTTGTATGCTTGGGGGAAGGCATCAGGGAAAGATTCGGTAGCGGAGTCGAAGCTGTTGTGTTTGAGGTTGACAGGTTCATATTGCGCAGCTTTGCGGTTGCGGTGCATGATTAAGGAGCCATGTGCTAGAGGGATATAGAAGGCGAGTCTGTGAAGGTCATGTTAGCGAGGGCTCCAATTGTATATAGTAAGGAGAAAGATAAAATAGACATACAGCAAGATGATATCAACAACCAAGCTAATAATACTCGGCATCGTCTTCTTAACAACGCCGAAAGTGTTCCACAAGCTGACAACGAACAAGGCTGTCCAGCTTGCACATTTGAATATGTTCATCATGAGGAAAACAATGGGCTTCAACTTGTGTCTGAACATAAGGACTATCTCTGTGATAGTGAGGATGATACACAAGCCAATGAACACAATGTAGACCCATCCAATGCTAGGTTCTGTCAATATTCATGCTAAAAATCACCTATAAAATAGATATGCTTACCTTAGAGCTATTCGGATATCGTTGTCATCACTTTCATCATCGAAATCATTACTCATGATTTGAGAAATAGCCACGGCAACTATTCCAAATGTAAAGCCGGAGAATATAATTTGAACAATCCAGCAAGGTATTAGGATCAGTCTCCGCCAAGGGGCATAAGGATGTTGGCTCGTCATGGTGTGCAAAAAATGATATAACTACACTTCAAGATAAGGTTTAATATATGGAGCTTCTGAAGAACACTTCGAAAAGTAACAAATAGAGAAAGCTCTATATATATAAGGGATCAACAATGAAGAGACATTGAAGCAAAAGAAAGAGAACAACGGCTGTGTATAACAAGCCTCGCATCCCAAACAACACCTATTTAAGCTGGGACCAATCAATAGCTCCATAGATGCACAACGTATCCATTCTTCGAATCTTTCTCCAGTAACCCCATTCAAAACCATGTCGTGCTGCATCAATACTTGCCCATTTGCTCTTCACTCACTGAGACAACGCATCAGCAAAACTGATGAATCATATCCAACTCAGCCTCAGCCCATCAAACTTTAATAGGCCAGCCAGCGACCAAATGACTAGCGTTCTATGTAAAGAAAAGGCTCCCACTGCTCACTATACAATTGTGACTAAATAACTTGTGGAGCTTGCAATTTTTGGACAGCTTTGCTTCCACAACTGACGTGAAAAAAATGTTCGATAGTGGACGGGATCCCACAGCCCTAGAGAGAAGCTTAACCTTAATTTAGACAGGGCATTTAGGCATGTACAACTCCCCATTAACAGCATCAGCACTCTAACCTTGGCGCTTCCCCGCCTTTAATCCACGCGATGAAGGATTCAACTCCTGGTTGTTCCCACCGCAGGAAAAGACGGTATGGCATAATTTGATTGACTGATATTTCTCGAAGCCGTTCTCGAAGCTCAATAAATTTCGTGTCTTGTGTATGTTTTCAGGATTCTTCCCTGCAGCAAGCCACAAACTGACAGCTAGACTCTTCGTTAGGTTGACTTTTTGCCGAGTTTTCGACGTCGATTGGTTGGTCAATTCATCACGTGAAATATATGCAGCTAATTCTGCGGCTGTCCGGACGTAAATGGTGCCACTAATCAAAGAGTTGCGTGCAGGTCTATCGTGTAAATGGCCTATAGTAATTAGATATGCAAGTAAGAAGAAAACATAGTGCTGGCGTCAGATCACCATAAGTCAAGCTTCTTTATTTTTAGCATCACTGTCTAATGGCCGAACAACAGCCGCCACGCATCTGATGCGGCTCAGCTGTATATCTTCATAACTCCTTCATTTGTTTATATCATTTTTTGAGACCTGAGTGGAGAAATCATTATTTTAATAGCTGCCTAGAGAATTCCATCCACTTTACGGCCTAGACGCAATTTCATCATTTGATTATACTTTTTGGTATATGACGTCCATCCCGAATGTTGTCATGCTGGCTAAACTACTGTGCCACGTCCCTCTCTTAAACAATAGCTATCATTCAAACCCTCAAATGCAACCCATCGCCACTACTTCATGATTCTATTTTCAATTGCCCAGAACATCTGAAAATTTCTCATTCGTTGAGCCGAACAAATTGATTCCATTTCTTGGATGATGTTGTGACTGCCAAATCAACCCGCTACCGCTGCACTCAGCCTCCTAAGATCTCCACCCCACCCCACTTTCTCCTCTCTCCGATCGATCCTCAAGAATCCTTCAAGAATTTTATTCTACGGCCTATTCGGGATCTAACTTTACCGTCTCCGATGCACTGGATTGGGTATGTTTACTGGGTTTTCTATATCCGAGTACTCGGGCCAAGCGTTGAACCACTAGGCATCAAAATTATTGAGTCTCTGCAGACACTTCGACTTATTAACCACTCACCCGCTTTTTCGAAAAGAAACATATTCAACATTTCCACTAGTCGGTTATCACATTCTTTCATGATTCCCACATGAAGAGATAGTCATGTCATGATACTTATGGTTTGTTGGTTGGGGCGTTTAGAGGAAGTCTGAAGAGCAGGCAGTCCCAAGAGTAATCTATTTAACAAGTCTCTCCATTATATTCTAATTTCTATATACATTACCATATACAGATTGCGAAACTTCGATTCATGGATCTTAGTTTTCCTTCTGACCATTTCCTCCTGAAGGAACCTTCCTCGATATTAGCTCAAGTTCTCTAACTAAGGCTTTCTATCTGGGAACCCCAAGTCAACACCGAATGCCGGGAATACATATCGCATGAGCTTTCCATTCTTTGTCAAATCATCCGAGTAATCATTTAGGATCTTCATGTCCGCATCGTCCAATTTTACGATGTTCATGTTTGCCTTTATTCTATCAAGAGTGACGGACTTGGCGAGGACCGAGCTTCCCGAGCAACTATTGTTTATTAGCATGACTTACAACGGCAGTCGCATATTCACGGGGGTCTTACCATGGTAGCTAAGCAATATTGAAGCTGGTGGTACATCCCTCTTCTTCGCAACCTCAACAATTGGGGCAGCAGTGAACAATGGGCTACCAGTGCTTCCAAGAGGACTGTAAGCTGTGATGTGGATTCCCTTTGACTTGCACAAATCGTAGATTTCTTGCTGTGGCAATGAAGGGTGATTTTCGATTTGGTTGACGGCTGGAGTAATAGTAGCTTTCGAAAACAATTCTTCCAAATTCTTTACACTGTAGTTGGAAACTCCGATAGCCTTTGTCTTACCGGTCTTGGAGACTTTCTCGAGTTCTTGCCATGTTTGGGTGTGGGACCATTCCGTTTGGAGATCGCGGGAGCCATCGGGATGTTTGGGGAACAATTCGTGGTTTCCTAGTTGAAATGTTAGACATTATTACGCGATGAAAATGAAGGGGTAACGGGGTAAGTGAAAGAGATCCGCTTACCATTTGGGTTCATAGGAACTGGCCAATGCATCAAATATAAATCGACATAATCCAGTCCCAACCTCTTCAAACTCTTATCAAGAGCCTCTTCGACTCGCGTATGATATGTACACCATAATTTGGTAGTGATAAAGATATCCTCTCTCTTAACTCCGGATGCGAAGGCTTCCTTGAGTCCCTGTCCTACTTCCTCTTCGTTTCCATAGACATATGCTGCACAAGTTCGTTAGCTAGTATCACACACATCCCCACATTTACGAAAGTAGAAGGTGAAGAGCAGAATGCAAATAGAAGGAGGTCATACCGCAGTCGATATGTTTGTATCCAATCGACAGTGCGTAAGAAACGGCTTTCGCGACTGCGCCCGGCTCAGATTGCCATGTACCAAGTCCTAATGCCGGAATCTCAGCACCGGTATTGAGCTTGAATCTTGTATCGGCCATTGTGTTATTATTTGATTATGTTGGTTGGTATGTTGTTGGATTTATTTGATTGATCGATGTGAAAATGAAGGGACAACCAGACTTTAATAAGACGTGGCTTCTTAAACGTGGGGGAGGAGGAATTTAGTACCTGGATAGTAGTATTCCGAGCTATTACATCTCAGGGTGGAGGTATGATGAAATATCTCTCAACCCCACCATGTAACCCCCACCAACCCCACTTCTGTGGAAGATTATTGTAGATCGGCAATGTCAATGAGAAGATCTTAAGAGCAGCGACGCTGGCCCAAAACATATGAATTTACACTTCATACAATGTTTTCTCTTCAAGCTTTGCTTAATCTTGTGCAAAAGCTATGCCCATTCCAGGACGGTTACCGTGCCTTGGTGGCCGAGATCGAGCTGCTCTCGGGTTTAAATGCGTCGACGGATGCCCTCATATTTGTTACACATCCGAGTCATCAAGTAATTTTTCAATTTGTTCTTGGAAAATTCTTGAGGACGACATGTCACTTCGTTTGATGTATCTTCTGGGGTTAGAAACTAGATTGCGCACGAATTTGATTGAGATGCAATAGTTTTGCCTCGCAGCCACTATCACATAGAGCGTTATGATCACTTGCAGTTGTACCATTGCAGTCACAAGACGTATTTTTGTAGACTCGATCTCGTATTTGAAGTCTCAAAAATTGTTTTTGTCCATCCAAACAACCAAATTCAGTGCGATAAACACAAGAGACTCTATAATTTTGGGTCTTGATATTACCAGTGCCTTGGAAAGGATAGCCCTCACTGTCCGATGGCGTGTGAGGAGTCCACGAGCAAGACTTTTAAGTGAGGTACACTTGAATTCTCAAGTAGCGAAGGCCTTAGATTGACAGATCCAAGATAGATGTTTAATGTGTCAGTCTCATAAATCTCACCGAAGGTGTGTATAACACCAGAAGACCAGAGGTCTTAATGGCATGTCATACTGTATTATCGTTGCCAGTGAGTATCGGATCCTTTTCAGGCTTTTCAAGCCTGACCATGGCACAAACCTTTCAAATCGATTGTGCAACATTAAGCTTCTCATATTGCATGGACAAGAGAGTAAAGGTTGCAAATTTTCAAGCGGAACTTCCAAACATGGGTCACAGAATTCAAGACATTCTACTCAATTTCGAGCACTAAGTTATATCTTGAAATACTTTCGTCGCTCCAGTCATTTATAGCACACAATTGAGGTGTCGATGGGCGAGTAGCTAAGTCTTGTCATGTTTCTGATCTAGATTTCCAGACACCAGAATCTGAAACTACCCGTGAAAGATCTTAATGGACTACTGAAGATTTGATTCCCAACTGCAGTATGTTATGATAGAAACAGAACAAGTATGGCAATGCTTACTGCAGAGTTTGCCGTGGCTTTGTTTGGCTCAAATGGGTATGGAGATCATGTGGTGAACGAGACTGGCACCTTCAACAAGGTAGCAAATTGAACATAACCAACCTGGTCTTAATGAAAACGATACTTCCATTCACCATCGGATCGCTATCCACGACATTAGTCCACCAAAGATCGCCATTATCTTTTATTGGCACATTGGACTATAGAGTAGCCGAGCGTCACTTCTTAAGTGCAGCCAGATTGCAAAAGTACTCGGTGATCCTCATTACGTTAGCACCTTTGAGAAACGGCAATCATAAACAAGCTGTATCTGGAGTTTCCGTCTCTCGCCAGTCAAATTCAGAGATAAAATATACTTGTGAGAGAGCTGAAATCATGCTAGATTAATACTTCCAGTGAAGAGAGGCTCAATGATATCGGAACCTGACTATAATTCTCAATGAATAGACACTACATAAACTTACAGAAGTGCCGAGAGCTTCATTCAATAAGCATTTCACTCAATCAGGGATGAGAGATATCGTTCATCATGCCTTCTAATCACCAAAACAAGATTCAATATTTACTCCACTGGCGGATGATGGGTGGAAATCAAGAACGATGGAGCAAGCGGAGTAGCTTCATTCAAATCTCTGCCAACAATTCACTGAAAGATAGATAGCCAATATAGGACGCGGTGTAACGCAGCGTGAGCTATTGCCTTGCCTGCGCTCTACAATTGGAATTGAACATTCATTTTTGGATTGATCTATGAGGTCATAAGACTTTACATAGCGCAAACTCGTTCTTACATTTGAGGATCCAAACACTCTTGGATTTTAAAAAATTCTCCACATAAGGCGTTTAATTTCATGCCGAAGCTGTTCAGCCGCTCTTTTACGTGTGCCTAAAATTGATGCAATTCATTATTCGCACGAACTTAGGCTCCATCAATGATTAAGGTCATTGCTTCCCCGCTTAGCAGATGGCCGCAGCGGCTTCAATAATACCCCAGGATTTCATTCCAACATCACCTTACTAGCGCGTCAATTGAGATCCAGTAAGCTTGGCGACCAAGAGTAAGTCTATCAAAAGCGCTTCTGTTTGTGTCGCGATTGTTTATATAAACCAAAATGGGCAATCGGAGAATATCAATTGATTAAGCATCGTTTTATGACTATTTAGACGTTTGCCTTCATATCAACTATTCATCTTCGATACTTTATACTTTCATTGATCAAAACATGTTTATCTATACACCTTTACTATTTTTTTTGTCGGCTCTCTCGACTACAGCCATGGGTGACCCGGAAATCTATTCAGCACAAATCACACCAGCCCCTACCACTCTTGAAAGCCTCGTCCTCCGTGATACTACTGAGGCTACAACTACTACATATCGTGATCCCCCTGACATTTTTAGCGTCCAGCCAACACCCTTTCCTTCCTTCTGCTGCTCTTATAACACTACGAAAGTATCAGATTCTCTCGTTAACGGAAGCTACGTTCTCAACTTGAATGGTTTTGGAAACACGGATTCGTCCCCCGCACACTCGAGCAAGAGTACGGACCTTGAATGTGTCCCTAGCCTCAAAAATGCGATTGATGAAATTTTTATGTCAGAAGGTGGATATGAAAAGTCACTTTGGTGTTATCCAAGTTACGGAGGTATAAATGATACATATGTTGTAATAGAGATAACAGCTCACCCTGAGGATCAAGGAGCAGCTCTCCTAGAAGTTTTGGTAAGTGACATCCAAAGAAGAAAACATGAAGGAAAAAAGAATTAACGGGTTACCTTCGCAGAGAAAATGGGCTCCAGGCTGGGCGGCGCCAAGCGTGGCAGCAGTGCCAGGCTCAGAACCAACACAATGGATGGATCCTCGAACTCTTATTCCGGACGATGCAACTTGTCAGAAGGGTGGTTCATGCTCTAGTCAACAAGTGAGATTTTACTATTCATTCCCTTAATAAAAACTTAAATGCTAACTGAAAGGCTTCAAAGTTGCCGATGGGATATTGTAAATCAAATTGTCGTTGATGATTTGAAATGTACACGAAGACAGAAACACTTCCATATTATTACCATAACACACCAAGATTGGAGAAGCATGATGGATAGACTATGCGCAACCAACTGGCAAACTTTTTGTTTTACAATTTCGATTTTATTTTATTGTATAAGAATAGAGGATTGTTAGCACAAAAAACGCTCAATTGAATGTGATTATTCAACGGACATAAGTGAGTTATGTAACATGAACCAGTGACATTATCGCTGCAGCGCCAGATGGTACTCGAATGTCTAGATACAAGAAAAACCATCAAATTAGAGACACCAAAATGTTCACGCCTTACATATAAATTGACTGAGCAATGTCCAGTGCCAATCTGAACAACATTCGCGATGTATCCAATGTTCAATTTTGACTCCGACATCGAACATCCACACAAGTGATCAGATCTGTATTCAATAACATATTTGCTTTGTCCAACTTAACATCAAACAATAACAAGTATTTCTTCACCAACTCAGTTTCCGGTAATGAAATTCAATGTAATTGTTCAATCCAAGTACTGACATTAAAATCTAGCTAATGTTCAAATCTAACCCCAACTTTCCAAAGCACATCTAAGAAAGAAATATTGATTCATGCACATACTAGTCCAAGCCCTGAATCCCAAAAACAACGATATGAAACGTAGAGGTCTTTTACAATGAATGTAAAAGAACCTCAAAAGCAACGATAAGGACTCTTGACAAAAGAAATACCATGGTAAGAAGAAGATTACATTCCCAACCTCCTCTACCAACACCTCAAAACTCCGTCAAACGATGTTATAGATGTGCACTGATGCAATCCAGTTATCTTGGGTATCTTGACCCGCTGCTTGCCGCTCGTCGACGTTCCTCCAGAGTCTCCTTTGGCTTGCTAGGGAACTTTATTTCATCATCCCCGCGTCTTTCCATATAATGATCTTTAATAACTTGCTCGCTTGTAGCATTTTTGAAGAAGTGTCTGAGCGTTGACTCGACACGCTTTCCTGCATCTTCGCGCATCCAGTCAGTTTCGTACTCAGTGTTCCAATGCACAGCCCATTCCAATACAAGATAGTCTGCATAACTTCTTTTTTTGTACTTGAGATAATGATATCCAATGTCGCAAATATCAAGTCTAGTACCACATTCAACTGCAATCTCATCGACAAGTTTCTCAGATGCGACGGGATCCAAGGCAAGACCCTTCCCCTCTTTGAAACATTTGTGGAAAAAGCGGCGAGCCTTATTGACAATGAAAATACGATCAGAATCGGGAAGTTTTGGCCCTCTGGGAATTTTCTTGTAAGCGAAACTGATTTTGGCACTGGTATTTAGATCTCCGCCCACTAGTCGAGAGATCTCCTCTACGACATCATCTTCTGCATTTGCCTGATAATGCCAGCTCTTTTTGAACTCCGTTTTCAAGTAATCAGACCACAAGTTTATAATGATTCTTTCGTCATGAGTGAAATCCTTGTCGGTCTTGGGTGGTGGCATAGACATGATGAGTTGTTGATGAGGGGGTTGCTGAACGTTGGCTGGTGTGATAGAGAGACACTGGAGATTGATGAAGAGCAAACAAAACTTTGGCAGAGATTCGACAGAGCTTTGGTGGAAATATCGCCAGGAGGATTACTGGATTGCGGAGAAGTGATAACAGAATTTTCAAGTCTGGTAAATATTTGAGAGAAGAACTTTGGAGAACTCGCCCAATTTGTAAATTGTTGATGTTGATTTGGATGAGAATTTGCTTTTGTATAGAGATGAGGATACTATGTGTGTATGTGTGTATGTGTGTGTA